TGTCTGTGATTTTGGTTCTATTGTCATTAATCAATTCATGACTATTGTTACCAATCAGTTCATTTGATCAATAATCAGTTCATTGTTTTTTGATCTGTTTATACTACTCAGCCATGAACCAGTTGGTTCATGCCCCCCCCCCCCCCCTCTTCTTTTCAACATCCTTTCCCTATTGAAAATTTCCGGGGCGTTCATGTTTTTGTCAGTACGCATAGTTACACAACATGCGTCTGTGCATGGCACATAATTACACAACGCGTAGTTATGCACACAGGGAGCTGAGTGAAAAGACGTTTTTTGGGCAAGCTTCCGCGTCATACTGTGTTCGAATGGACCCAGTGAGGCGAGGACCACATCCGCTTTGCCCTTAACCCATCAGCGACAGCCTTAAAGGGTGAAGCTTATACGACATAGAACGTTGGTTACGTACTGTAACCCCAGATTCTATGAGTATAAGCGTAGCCCTTTAAGCGTCAGGCCTCACTGGCTCCTAAATGGCTGAAGAAAAAGCTATTTTGGGAGCCGATTTCCCGCTCTTAACGTAATTTATATGGACCGGGTGGGGCCCACACAGCAGGTGGGCGTGGACTAAATTTTTTTCAGTGCTTATGCTGCGCATAACGGGATAAACCCATCAGCGACAGCCTTAAAGGGCTACGCTTATACTCATAGAATCTGGGGTTACAGTACGTAACCAACGTTTTTTTTTTTGGCACCATTCTCATTTTGTCAGGGTGCGTTCAGCAACTGTTTGCTAAAATTTGTCAACTCTCAGTTTTAAAAATAATAAAGTTATGAACAAATATGTCTGTCCTGTCGTTTGAGGAGCGATGCTTGAACCGTGTCTCTTCCCTCTGCTGCTGCTGAGCAGCTGGTGACGCTCGTCACCCTGTAGCACGCGTTAGTTACCTGCCCCTCTTTCACTTTAACGTTTTTTTTGTTTGTTTGTTTTTTGGTTTGTCAAAGAACAATTTTGATGTTTTTTAATACAGAAGTAATGTTTAATAAATGTTAGGACTCTATTATTTGCCAACAAATCCTCAGCTCTGGACGCATTTCACCCACAGCACGCAGCAACAAAGAGTATAAACTCAACGTAAGAGCGACACCTGCCCCCATCTTTCCTCTTTCACAATTACAACATTTTTTAGTTTTATCGACTGTCAAAATACAGTTTTCATGTTTTTTTTTTTTTTTTGTTGGAAAAACGTATGTTTAACAAATGTTAGGACTCTATTCTTTGCTAACAAAATATATTTTGTCATTAAACAACTTGTCAGGTTCTTCTCTTGTGAGCACGTTCCCCTGGACCCACCAACACATCCACACACACACACAGCCCGCTCGCCCTTGCGCTGTTTGCAACTTCTCTGCTGCTCTGAAGTTCAGGTCCAGCCAAAGCCGGATTAACCAACTGGGCAACTGCCCAGGGGCCCATGATCTCTAAGGGTCCCAGGCCAGTGAGGGCACAACCAAAATATCTGGTTATCTCCTGCTTTACTTGGAGCCCTGCGCTGCATAGAAACTGCTGCGCTTCCGCTGCATTTGTGCAGCCCCGCCTCCTCCCAGCCGGGCTGCTGCAGCTCTCATTTTTTCTTTTTTCAATCGGATCCTCGACGGCTTGACCCATCAATCACCTCAGAAGGCGTGTCAGTAACTGACCAATCGAGAACCTCAATTTGTCCCTAAGGTAAACGCCCCTTACATACTGACAAGCTCATTAGTTTTTTTTTCTTGAGAAACATTGTTTTAATTAAAACAATGTTTGTATCTGTTGTGAGATGATTCAGTTTTGCAGATTTTTAATCTACTTAATGAAGAATAACATGACTTAAAATTGTTAATCAAACTAGAAGGAAGGCTTATTATCATTATCTCTCCTCTTACTACAGTGAATGTTGTACTTTGTTATAAGTACGACTATATTAATGAATCCGTGAAAGCTGAGCTTAAGTTATCCACATAAAGTAAAATGGCATCAGCATGAAAAGAAGGAATGAGATTAATCCAGTTTCTGATGTCTGACCAAACACTTTGTATTGACATGGAAAAAAAAAATTGCTTGAGGGATTCATCTTGTGATTTATAAAAGGCACAAAAATCAACATCAAATTTAAATCTTCTTTCAAGAAACATGGCTACAGGATATATCTTATTTATTATTTTAAAATGATTCTCATTCACTTTAGGAGATTTAGGCCATTTGACAAATTTAGAATGAGCAGAAGTCATTATGGTTTTATGATTTATATTAGGATGTTTCTTGAAGGAATCTTTGTTATAATCAATAAATCATTTGTCTCAAACATTCATTGATAATCTTATTACATTTGAAGTCAACTAAGTTACAGACATTTAATTTTAATTTGGGCATCAAATCATCACCTTTGAATATATAATATTTTTAATTCATTGAATCAGCTGTTGGTCAGGCTACTTCTTGTTGTGCTATTAGCTCTAAAATAGTTACTAAATCAAGTGTTTACTTCCATCCATCCTCGGGGTTTATACCAGCCTAAGTAGGGAGGCCCAGACTTCCCTCTCCCCAGCCACTTGGACCAGCTCCTCCAGGGGAATCCCAAGGTGTTCCAAGTGTTTACTTATGTAGGTAAAACTAGCTGTTAAACAACCATTAAAATACATCAGAATGCAGGAAATGGCATCTACTTTATTCAAACTTTTCTGGGGGAGGACCCCCAGAGCCCCCCATCAGTATGATCTATATTTCTATATTTTTTTAATTTAATGTTAATAAGGATACAATGTTATGTAGAGGTGTACTTGTAACAATTTTATAGACAAATTATACTATTTACAGTCGCGGCAGAGAGTTGGGGGAGCGCGAAGTGTTTACTTCTTCCTAGGGGGGGTGTAACAGAAAATAATTGAGAAGCACTGGCATAAACCAACAGACATGTTCTTGTTTTTAGTTATTTACATCACTTTATAATGTAGCTGTTTTTGTTTCGTTTTTTATATATATATATATATATATATATATATATATATATATATATATATTTTTATTTTTCAAATCTTTTATTTTTTTTTTTTTTTTTTTTTTAATGATCGTCTACTGTTGTACTGATAAATATCTCCTGGAGGGTAAACTATAACTTGGCTGCAAGTATCAAGCTGTGAAATCCTTCATTTCCTAAAACTGATAGTGGTTGGTCATTAATTATGATGAAGTTTATCAACTTCTCTGTAAACATTCGAGCTCTGGGGCTTCAGCGATGTCTTCTTCTTCTTCAGTCCAAAGCAAGCAGTCTGATTTCGGTCAGCTGCGCTCAGTCTGACCCTCCTCAGAGACGGGCAGATTTAGCGGGGCAGATTGGACGCAGCTGGCTGGGGTCGGGTTGCCTGTTTTTGGTTGAGCAAGAGTAGCGCCACGCTGAAGCCACGTAGCTCGAATGTCCAATGTAAAACTAACTTTACCGTGGTTTAATGTGGTGCTATGGCTCTGCAGACATTGTGCGTTGCCGTCTTGTTTTGTGGTGTTTCTAGTGTAAAATACTTCCACACAGCGGACATGTTTAGATGAAAAGTTGGTTAGCTGTTAGCTACAGTGCTGCTAACTCAGTCCTCACGTTGTAGCTGGATGCAAACTATGAAATGGATTTCCTAAATGTGAGGCGGGTCTTATTACTCTGAGTTCATGAAACACGCCTCCGTTCAGGAAATCCATTCCATAGTTTGATGCCAACATGCATCATGGATCGGAAATCTCTGCAGGTTGGATTGGAAAATGGATCGTTCACATTGTCACGATACTCGATCCAGAAGTTTTTCAGATATCTGTACCGATTGATATCGGATCGGTGCATCTCTAATTAAAAATAAACCTAAACCCCTCGCCTTCAACTGAGCTGTCTGCTCATAAATCTTTGTGCAGGAGATGGAGTGAGAAATCTTCACAGCTGTTGGCGAATCAGCTGGAAGTTTGTTGCAGCTGGTGGGCTGCTTCACTTTTCATCTTCCTTCTGCACACTTTGTTGGATTTCCAAAATTCTGTACCGCAGTTCTATTTTACACTTCTTGCAAACAGCAGTGCTCTTGTCGAGCTCTGTCTTCCCCAGAACATTGTAGGATGGTAAATGGACTGTACTTATATAACGCCTTTCTATATTATTTCAAGATACTCAAAGCGCTTTACACTACAATCTGTGTCCTCATTTACCCATTCATACAGCATTCTACTAGATCACTACAAAGCTAATTGAACAAATCATTCTAAAGAGACTAATCAGTGCTTTAGATCACATTCATACACTGATGGGACACACATCAGAGGCTATGAGGGGTTCAAGTGTCTTGCCCAGGGACACTTCAGCATGTGGCTGCTGGTGGATTTGAACCCCCAGCTCTTGCATTGGAGGACGACTGCTCTAACCACTCAGCCACAGCCGCCCCACAGGATCTGAAATGATCTTTAACAATGAAGGAGTGGGTTGAATCACACTGTCCCCCTCCATGCTAGCAAACTCCATTCATATTAAGGGAGCTGGCTAACTAGCTTGCTGTACGGTGGCCTACAAGGCCAAATTCCACGGTGATGGGTGGAAACATAATATGATATGCAGTACACTCGGGAGTAGGAGCAGAAAAAAATAAAACTTAAACCCATTTTAAAATCAATTTTTGGGCCTTTAGAACCGATTCAGAATCACCTAGACTAAGAATCTAAATTCTTTAATGAATCGCTTTTTTTTTGCACTTCTGTTATACATGATGATTGTTTTGGACGGATGGTTCCTTGTGGCATGTGTAAAGCTATTTTCTGTGAACTCCACAGTGCTGGCTTGAAACATCAAGGAGGTGCTGTTTATGAGACAGATGTTGGTGGCAGGCCTCAGACTGATGAAGTGTTTCAGATGAAAGATTAAATGTTTCTCCCTTAAAGAATCTGTCCAGATGACCTGATTTAACCTTTTTGTGATTCGTGTACCTGGATTTTGGACCTTTCAAACCTTTTTTCCAATCTCCTCTGTGTTTATAAGGACTTGGTGGAACTTGTGTGAACGTCGGCTGCATTCCTAAGAAGCTAATGCACCAGACGGCCTTGCTGAGTGCAGCCATACAGGATGCACGCAAGTTCGGCTGGGAGTTTGACGAAACGGGTGAGGCCATGGACCCGCTGCTGTATTCACTTAATCGTCATAAAACAAACAACAATCCTTCTCACAAAGTCTTGGTTTGACTGGTGCTTTTAGTGAAGCACAACTGGGAGACGATGAAGACTGCCGTCAACAACTACATCGGCTCTTTGAACTGGGGCTACAGGGTGTCGCTGAGGGAAAAGAAGGTTGACTACGTCAACGCCTTTGCAGAGTTTGTTGAGCCACACAAAATCAAGGTGAGTGGGTGTTAAACCCTGCGCTCAACGTGTACCTCATCCAAACATCTGGAGTCCTGATTGTTGACTGAGAGCTCAAGGCTTGTTGTTTAAATGATCACTGGTTGAGTTGGCAAATGTAAACTGGTGTGTTTTGTAACTAAGTACCTTTGTTCTGCTGTATTCATCTCCACTCTAGATGCTGTGGACCTGTGCACAAGTCTTTACTGTGAGAATAGTGACTAGATTTCCTTATGGTCATCATTGGCTCTTATTCTTGTCTTTAGCTGCTCATCTGCAGAAAGACATTTTAGAAAAACAAGCCGTTAATATTTTTTATTAAGAAGACAAGAAGCTGTAGACAGGCTGCAGAAAATGAATCGCTGAGTCTGGAGAAACTGTTTACAAACAACATTCTTTATTGCTTGTTCTAAAATATGAAGAAAACTTGATTTTGTGTAAAGCAATTGTAGTGTAAAGCGCTTTGAGTAGCTCGATAAGATAGAAAGGCGCTATATAAGTACAGTCCATTTACCATTTACTTTTGAGCCTCTAGTTTGAACCTTTACATGACACCTGGGGGAAAAACTATTGCATGCAAGCGGTTCCTTTAGCCATAGACTTTTATTTTCATTTTATTTATTTCTGTAGCGCTTTACATAATCACAGTGATGGTGACCAAAGTGCTTAACAAAGACTGTAATTAACATGCCAACAAGTTAAAATCAAGAAAAACACAACAAAATAACAAAGAACCAGAAATGTCACCACATATTTAAGTACTAAAAGCCTGTTGGAATAAAAAAGTCTTTAGCTTCGATTTAAAAAGGGTCAAGTTCAGTAACCAAACGTTTTAAAGTAACAATAATAAAAGCAGCACTGTAGTGTATGAACATAAATATACTAAATTATTACTATAATAATCATTCACAGGATATTTACAGGTGGTTCGATGTCAAAAAGGCTAACAAATTTGTAAGCTTGTGCACCTTTGTGATTGTGAACCTGTCGGCGGTGTGTTCTTGTGTTCTGGAACAGACGACGAACAAACGAGGCAAGGAGACGTTTCACACAGCAGCCAGGTTTGTCTTGGCTACAGGTGAGAGGCCTCGCTACCTGGGCGTCCCTGGAGATCAGGAGTACTGCATCACCAGGTGAGCACACGACATCCAGCCGACCTGCTAACATCAGGTCCAGTGTTTCCCCTACCATTATACAAGCGGGACGCCCTGCCCTGTCAACAGAACCGAGCACCCAGTCTACCGAACCCCACCCCAAACCACCTGTCGGCACTGACGTAATGCTAAACTAGCGGCTTACAATGCAGGTGTGCTAGCTAAAAAGCTAAAGGCAGCCTCTTCCCTCATGCTGAACCCTCACACTGAGTCGGTTCAGACAGCGCGTGGCTGAGATGTGTCTCTGTCTCTCTCCTCTCACACACCCTGCTCTAAAACTGTAAAACTGTTGGTTTAAACAGCGCGCAGCTTTGGACGTGTCTCCGTCCGTCTTCCCCGCCCCTCCCCCCCGACAAAAATCACGGACGAGATGAGCACCCCGCCATGGAAAGTTATCAAGGGGAAACACTGAGGTCTCTTAATAACCTCTTCGAAATCATTACCATAGCACCAGTGGGTGCTTCCTGGAGATCACGTCCCTTGTTTTTGTTTTGTCCAAGTAGGGCTGAGTACCGAACCGAGGTTCTTATGGCACCGACCGAACTGCACCTGTCGGTGTATGGATTGAAACGTCACTCTTTTTTTGGTGTCAAGTTTCGGTATTGGCTGTAAGGTGTCATGTGGTTTCAGCATGCAGGCAGGTAAAACGCAGATATATAGCAAACAGACTACGTGTTTACACCCAGAGTTGTATAAAGCTGCCGTACCTAATCTATGTATAATGTATGACTATGGTGCTGGTGACGCCCACAGACGGGGTTCACGTGTGCAGCGTGTGTTGTTGAAGCCGTTCAACAACACACGAGCAGAAAGTTTCTCCGTGTTTCTCTGCAAGAAGACAGACGGACAGCAGCCTCCCCCTCCTCCTCTCAGCGTTAGTCAGTCTCTGTGTGTGTTAAACGGACTGAATCAACATTCCACGGCCGGACTCGTCTTCATCAAAGAACTCCCGAGGACGGCTCCGTGTCTGTGTTTCAGCTGGTAAGTTTACGTTTGTTAACGTTACTGCAGCTTAACACATACATCACGGTGAAATAACGCTAACTTTAAGATATTAATGTGTAAATTTATTTTATCTATGTAGCTAGCTAAGCTCAGAAGCTAACTAAAGATTGACAGTAACAGATAAATCTTAACTTGTAAAACTGCTCATCCATCCAGTCAGCTGCTTAAACAGTTCACCTAATGTTCACTGTTTATCTTCTCCTCACAGGAGCCTCTGACCCAGATGTGAGGACAGACAGACAAAAGGAAAGTGAGGTGGGGGCCACAGGACAATCACAGACTTTGTTGTTAAAAGTTTTCTGTCTTTTCTTCAGTGGAGCTGCACGGTGGAGGTAAGTTAAGCTGTAAAAGATATTGTTGACCAGTTAAGCTTTTATCTCTCAGCCTAGATGATGTTTTTTGAGCAATAAACAACCATGTTATTGTTGATGTTTTGTGTTCTCATGTCAATTAGGGAGATGATCAGAGCCCTAAACCCCAGAGATCCACAGAGAAGATTCAGGCCGAGACACAGAGGCGCAGATCTCTGCATCAACCCTAACCTCAGTGAATCCAGTGACCTGCTGGTGGGATGTGAGGGACAATATTTCAGTGCTATCAAACTGACAACCAGGTATCTGTGTGTGCAACAATCGTCTACAGCCTCAGAGTGAACATTTTCTACTGCTGGAGACGCCATCAGCCAGGAGCGGGCTTGTTTGTGTCCAGAGAAAGCAGACATGTTGATGTTTCTGAAGAAAAACTGTTAGGTGAAAAGGTCCTCAGTGTGTAGCAGTGAGCATTAGACACTGACATGTCACTTGTTGTTTGCAACTGTTCTTTTGAACTGGAAATTATTTGTTTATTTTAATGTAAGAAAACTGCTTGGAATAGAAATACCAAAGTTAAAAAATAAAATTCACAATATGTACTGTAATGTGTAACGTAATTTTATTCTTGTTAGAATTATTATTAATTGCAAAAATGGTATCGGTATCTGTGAATAGTAAACAGCCATCAGTGTGCTAATGATCCATTGTTAGGCTGATGGTCCTTCTTGAGCATGTGATCAGCTGGTTTTGGTTGTCAGCAGCAAAACTGGTTGATCCACTCTGAGAAGGTGCTATTTAAGAAACTGAGCTGAATACAGCACCTCAGACTGAGGAAGTCTCTCGGATGAGAGACGAAACGTTTCTACATTTTTTTGTTGTTTTGCTTTGTTTTGTTTTTTTGAATGTCCAGAGGACCAGAATTAACTTTTTTAGAATAATGAAATTCGTTGCCAACACTTTTAATCATCGATTTTTATAGATTTTATCGGTTTGTTGTTGCAGCCCTAGTCTGGACGTTGTGTAACATTACAGGTCCTTCTCAAAAAATTAGCATATTGTGATAAAGGTCATTATTTTCCATAATGTAATGATAAAAATGAAACTTTCATATATTTCAGACTCATTGCACACCAACTGAAATATTTCAGGTCTTTAATTGTTTTAATACTGATGATTATGGCATACAGCTCATGAAAACCCAAAATGCCTGTCCCAAAAAATTAGCATATCATGAAAAGTTTCTCTAAACAAGCTATTAACCTAACTATCTGAATCAACGACGTAACTCTAAACACCTGCAAAAGATTCCCGAAGCTTTTAAAAACTCCCAGCCTTGTTCATTACTGAAAACCGCAATCATGGGTAAGACTGCCAACCTGACTGCTGTCCAGAAGGCCATCATTGACACCCTCAAGCAAGAGGGTAAGACACAGAAAGAAATTGCTGAACGAATAGGCTGTTCCCAGAGTGCTGTATCAAGGCACCTCAGTGGGAAGTCTGTGGGAAGGGAAAAGTGTGGCAGAAAACGCTGCACAACGAGAAGAGGTGACCGGACCCTGAGGAGGATTGTGGAGAAGGGCCAATTCCAGACCTTGGGGGACCTGCGGAAGCAGTGGACTGAGTCTGGAGTAGAAACATCCAGAGCCACCGTGCACAGGCGTGTGAAGGAAATGGGCTACAGGTGCCGCATTCCCCAGGCCAAGCCACTTTTGAACCAGAAACAGCGGCTGAAGCGCCTGACCTGGGCTACAGAGAAGCAGCACTGGACTGTTGCTCAGTGCTCCAAAGTACTTTTTTCGGATGAAAGCAAATTTTGCATGTCATTTGGAAATCAAGGTGCCAGAGTCTGGAGGAAGACTGGGGAGAAGGAAATGCCAGAAGTCCAGTGTTAAGCACCCACAGTCATTGATGGTCTGGGGTGCCATGTCAGCTGCTGGTGTTGGTCCACTGTGTTTTATCAAGGGCAGGGTCAATGCAGCTAGCTATCAGGAGATTTTGGAGCACTTCATGCTTCCATCTGCTGAAAAGCTTTATGGAGATGAAGATTTCATTTTTCAGCACTACCTGGCACCTGCTCACTGTGCCAAAACCACTGGTAAATGGTTTACTGACCATGGCATTACTGTAGTGGACTAGGCCCATGTCAAAAACTAAGTCTAAGGTCAAAAATCTTGACCTTAAGAACCTTGTGGGACAGGAACTGTCATTTCATTGATTTGAATCCAGAAATACAGGTTCACCCATCCTGAGACTTTCTCTCTTGAAGATTCAAGTGAAAAGAACACTCTCTGTTTTATTATCATTACTATTTTACAAATGTTGATAATCAAAGTGTCTTAGTTCAAACCATTTTAGATGTTGCAGTGAACTAATCAATTTTATTAACTGTGTAATGATTTTTCTCACGCAAAGTTAGAACTCATGTCAAAGCTGTTACAGAGTAATTATGCCTTTTCTGATTTCTGCTTTTGAATGAGCAAGTGTAAGTTGGTCCAAGGTTGGAGTCCTCTCAACCCTGCGCTGCTTTTTCATTGGTGATTTCAGTCACGTGACCCGGAAATGGAAACTCGTTTTCATAGGGAATAAAATCTGCTTTTTAAAGCTGAAAAGCGCTGCAAAGCTGTGTTCTGACACGGTGTTTAGGTTGTTCGAAGTCTAATTGCTAAAATTTTGCCACGTTTGTGTAAAATATCCGTTCAGAAATGTTGATTTTAACCGAGGTTAGCCGAAGCTAACTTTAAGCTAAGCGGCTAACAACAGGATGTCAACCGAACGCCACAGGAAGTTATAGCTCCCCTAGTGGACAACACAAACAGTGTCGGAGTTAAAATTGTTGAGGTTGTACTGACATCTTCTGGAGAAGACGTGGGATCACAGGTTTCACTTCGTTTTTAGGTTATTTTAGTGAAATTAAACGTGTTTTTCTTTTTAAAGGCATTTTTTGAGTTATTAACTGTTCCTCAAAGTTGAATAAACTCTGTTATCTTGCATTTTAAAAGTTATGAAGGTATTTATGCAGAGAGCATTTGCCAAACAAATTTTTATTCACTGATAAATCCTTGAGAAACAGGTACAAAATAAAAATTTAGAAACTTTTAAATAAGATACAGTTACAGATATTCACAAAGTTGGAAAAAGTTTACTCATTTGCTAGAAGATAACGCACGTTTAATTGATAAATCACTAAATAAGAGTAAGCTTATCAGGAAAAAGAGATTTTTCTGATTTTCTTTTACCACCTAAACATTTACATCTCCTATTTAATTTCTAAATAGCAGATAATGGCGGACGAAGATGTAAACACTGACCCCTTACAATCCGGAGATGCTGTCCAGACAGCTTTAAATATTTTAACAAATTCAATTGTTGGTAAACAATTAGAGCAATTGCTAGACCTTGATGATGATCAAAGATATGAGGAGCTGCAGAGGTTGTCAAAAGCAGCTAACGTGAAGGAGGACACAAAATCCAGCCGTGAACGGTTGGCAAAAATTTCTCTGCTTCTGAAGGCGGAACTGGACCGTCTGGTTGAACGATATACCTTGCTGTTCAACGGATATGAGTCTGAAAAGGAGAGGTGTGACGAATTGTTAAATGCATCTGAGTTGCTGAAACAACAAATTCAGACTGATAGGGACCTCTCAAAGACTGAGCTGTCAGAAC